GGGCCCCCCAGGCCAGAGGGAAGGGCGGAAAAAGAGGGGGGGGGGGGGGGGGGGTGAGAGACGGCAGAACGAACGGAACCGGGGGGAGGGGGCACAGGCTGTTACTCTCAATACCGAACGAATTGTGCCGCTCCCGTCAACATCATGTTGAACAGTTGAGCGTCTGCTTAATCATGCAGGGCCGTGTGGTGCGCACGCATGCGGGGCGTAACGCGTCGAACCACAAAATGCACCAGCGCACGAGATACTCGTCGTGTAACGGAGCGAGGGCGAACATGTGCCCCCGATGATGCCTCCTTTTGAAGAACACCAGCAACAACAACGAAAACAACAACGACACCGGGCAGTACCTAGCATCATCCGTGAACCAGATGGGATGGAGAATTCGTGGTGTATCGGAGCAAGGCAACGATGCCCGGCGACGCCTTCTTGAAGAACACCAGCAACAACAACGAAAACAACAACGGCAGCTGGCAACGACAGCACCCATGATGAACCAGATGGCATTGTTTCACGCGCGCACCACGGCAGAAGGCACTCCCGACTCCAAACCCTTATTGTCCAAAAAACAAAACACGCGCTGCTTATGTATAAAGGGCACAACAACTCACCTCCTCCGCGCTCGCAATCCCGTCCGCTGCCTCGCGGGCACGAGCATCCGCCTCGGCGACCTTCCTGTTCAACGCCTTGCGCTCCTTGTTCCAATCGAGCCGCTCTGTTCGGCTAGACGCCTGGGATACCGGTGTTTGTGGGTCGGAAGGTGGCGACGAAGAGCGAGGAAGGGGAGGGTCAGGATCCGTTGAAACCATCGAAATTGGAGACGATAGCATGGCATGTGTGTGGGGGCGTGCTCTTGTGTTTTGCATGCCTTAGCGGTTAGAACATTGACCACGCGTCCTCGAGGGGACGGAGCATGCTTCTGGCGCGCTTCACCAGAGTACGCATCATCACCGCCGCAGTGTGCACGTGTGTTGGTGCCGCGGGATATTTGCTCGATTCGGTGGTCACACCGGACAGAGAGCACTTGCCGCTTCCCAAGGAAAAAAGGAAAAGGATGGAAAGAGATCGCTGAGCGTGTACATGGATACCTTGGAGGTACGTTTCAAGATCATCTTCTTGTTGTCATCGCTGAGGCCATCGCGCGGTTGTGCAGCAGTCTCTCACGCTAGCACTGCATGTATCGCTCGGCCATGTAGAAGCCTGCAACCACGTGGTCACAGAAAATGCCAGAAGGGACCAACAAATAAAAGACGTCAGAACACATCAAACAAGCCAACATGCCGCGCTACTGCACGGGACACCTTAAGGAAGATCAACTCGCTGTCGATTTGTTCCTTCTCGCCCCTGGTCGCCTCGAGATCCGCCATCAGCTCTGCCACCTTCGCGTCGTAGTCGGCCCGCACCGCCGCTACCTTGGCCTCTGTTTTCAATCCAAGTGGTAGGGGTGGGGGTCGGGGTTGGGGTGGGGGTGGATGCGGGGGCAGGGGTGTGTTGCAAAGGGTGCGCATGTGCGCATACATGTGTTTTTGTGGTCTTCTGCGCGGTAAAAAAAAAAAGCACGAGCACACACGGCGTGACAGCACCACCCGTTTGCCCAATGGAAATCACATATGGCGTCCGTCCTCGGATCGGTTTCCACCAGCTGTTGTCTTCGTCCCATGTTAACGCTATTCTCCTGGCCCACAACCACTGCGCTTGGCGTGTATGTGCTCGTGCCAAGCCGACAAGGTTACGTGCTGGCGGCATCGGCGAATCCCGCTTGGGCTGAACCAAAGGCCTCATCGGTGGGACCGGGGAGGGGGGGTCGCCAATCCAGCTTTTCCATTGACATATCGCCATGACATCGTCATGATGAGTACTCGTTGCACAACCCCCTTTCAAGGCTTCAAGGCATCTCTCCCGAACCGGAGGCAGCAACATTGTTCTTTCCTTCTAAGATGCTCCACTCGACCGCCGTTTTAACTTGTGGCTTGCCCTGTTTGCCATGTGCTCTTCTTCTGCCCACTGCTACAGAGTGAGCTGACTACAGTATCGAGAACGAATGGAGAACTTGCGCGACGGAATGGCAAATCACCTACGCAGGTGACATACAAGGTGATTTTTTATGTCCCCGTCAACCATTGCTTTCGACTAAGTCGTATGGAATCCTGTGAACGTGATTCCAAGCGAGTTTCTGTCTTTGACTCCCAGTAGTACATCGGCTGCTAGACTAAGCGATGCACCGAAGGCTCTTGTGTACCGCTGCTGTTGACCTCTTTCGACAAACCAAAATCAAGGAAAAGCGCAGCGCGCACAAATGTCCTTGCGTGCTACGGCCGAGTCACAAACCATCAACCGACGTGATTGAAGGGTACGGCAGCAGCGTAGCAGCGTATGCGTTGTTTGGTTCAAACACCAAGTGTGTGAAAGAGAGAAAGAGATCCTTTCGTTTTCAGTTTTTTTACTGTTTTTTTGGGGACCCAACAAGAACTCGAATTCCGACACCAAAACAGAGGCCATCTCTTGGTGGTAAGGGACAACAAAATGGGCATGATGGAATCCTGGAGGGGAAAGGGAGGAAAACACAGAGGGAAGGTTAAGGTTGTTCTCTAACATTGAGTGCTTTAAATGTCCGTACAACACGGCACCCCCCTAAGGTCTACGGCGGAGGCGGCGTGTACTATTATAAAGCCAACTCACGCAATAGTAGTATCAAAATCGAAGCTATTTTTGTTTTGTATCCATCTCCGAGCTACTTTACGTTATTGGCTGGTGGAAAGAGAAGCCAATACAAACTACAATAGGCAAGGAATGCAACGCAACACAAACACCATGTACCCACCCATCTGCGCGTTGTGAGCTGCAGCGATTTTGCATTGCGGCGAAACCAGCTCATACGGGGGATGTTGTTGTTGCCACGCTTTCGAACCGTTTGTTGAAGGAACAACAGGCGTCTCCATGCCTCCGACTCGGTCTAACAGGGCCAGGAACGACAACCGCGCCCGAACCAGGACAGCTGGCTGGCCGTCTCGCCCTAGCGGAAAGTACACCAGCAACGCAGTCTCGACTTGTTCTTGCTTCACCAAGAGGGGGGCAAACAACCCAACCCAACCACAGCAGACCTCACACCATCCCAGAGCTCCGCGGGGTCCCGGAACAAGAAGCGGCGCAATTCAAATGTGACGGTTACACGTCGATTTTATTTCGGAACGAGGAACGAGCAAAGGATGAGCAAAGCCGACCCGCGCCGTCTGTATGCTGTTGTACATGAGAACTTGCTTTCAACGGCGACTCGGACGATATTTGTCAGAAAAATAAAAATAAAATACGTTTGCATGAACAGGTGTTGCCGATGTTGGTGCGGGTGTGTCTCTGGTCTTGTTGTGCGATGTTATGTGTGCAGAGGTGCATGAGTCGTAATCATGTGATGTGCGGCGTCCCGTCTCCTCATGGGCTCGAACACTGTACCACAGCAGCAGCACAGCAGTTCCGAATGCCCACCTCACCTCTGTGTTGACTTCCCTGCGCAACTTTCTTCTCCCAATACTAAACGGCGTCCCGCTAGGCCTGTTGGACGCCTACGCGTAGAGAGGCTTCCCGAGCGTCGGTTGTAATATACTGTACGTACAGTAGTTGAATCCCTGTGTGTCGTGGTGTCTACTACACAATCAGTCATGGGAGTCGAGGAGAGTCAAGACGATGATGTGATGGCGTCTGAGCGGACGAGCCTGGCCGAGCGAATCCAAAGCAACAAGGACCGGAGTGCACGACGAAGGGAGTCACTCAGACTGGACAGGGTCCTAAAGAAGCGCCAAAGTCAACCTCGCGCTGAGAAATCGCCGGAGCTTCAGGAAGAGGTGTGTGCAAAACTGTACATGTAGACTACAAGTAGTGCATGATATAAAGAGGCAGACCAGTTATATGTACAGCAGTACACTCTGCTGTACTGGCATGGTAGTCTAGACACAGAGCGTACGTGTAGTCTATGGTAGGGTCATGTGCGTCAAAACAAACGTAGGCGTTTTGCAATATCGAGAGCGGTATGAGTGGGCTTTACGAAAAGCCCGTTGGCATACTGTAGTCTACGCTGTGTCCATGCGTGACAAGGGTCGATCACTGATACGGTATGGTTTTGCTTCGCTCGCATGGTGAGTCGAGGTACGTGTACTGTATGCACACAAGGGTGCTTCTTGGAGAGGCTGCGCACAGATGTTGCAAATACACGCACTACCTGTTCTCGCCCAACGTCGTCGTGTGCTTGCATCTCTAATTTCGTCAGCCTCCAAACATCATGACCGAGCTATACGACATATCCGACTTGGTGGAGCTGGAGAGAGAGAGGGTGAGGACGGAGGGTACCTAATTCCCATTGTATGTTGTATTATCTTGAAACCTTGAACTTGGACTGCTGTAATACTGAAACACCCAACGGCAGGAATTGTACGACTTTTTGCCAGACTTCGGACCGGCAACAGCTACCTGGACACACTCTGTCAAAAACTCCAGGGGCATATGTATTTGTAACATGCTTGTCAGAGAGAATTCTGGAAGTCGATTCATGGTTTAAATTACCCGGTTCTGCAGTACTTCTGGACGATGGAAGAGCTTGAAACATGTGCGCATATTGGCTTGCTCCACGGCTCGAACCCAGAGCACCCGCGCGAGCCCTTGTTTCTAAATTATCGCTTCATGAAGTATGCTCAACGACAATGGTATCGTAGAGATACACGATTACATCTATGGTCACTGTTGCACCCAGAGACAAACACCCAAACAGCTGTAGCGAAGGTATATTGTAGTAAAGACCGAAAAGAAGGATACCAACTCGTCGTAGTACAACGCCGTTTTTCTGAAACCAAACAAAATCAGGCGAGGAAGCAAAAGGACATAGACCGCGCCGAGAGGGCTGCCGCCAAGCTGGAAAAGTACGTCTCCAGTCTTGCCGCGCAAAGAAACCATCCTGACAGCAGCCCAGCAAGCGCTACTGCCGCCGCCTCCGCCGCTGCTGCCGCTGTCGCTGCTACTGCTACAGTCAAATCGCGGTCGCCCCTGTGGGATCCCGAAGGGGACAAAAAGACGTTTGCGCTTCTCAAACAATCTACCGACAGGACATGTCAGAGGCTACAACAGACGGGAAAGCATTCAACAAGGGCGGGCAATGCCGCCGCCGTCGCTTCTACCGCAGGGCCAACACGGTCTAGCAAGAGGCGGGGGCGGGCCAAGTCGTCGCCCACGAGAGGTCGGAAGGCGCGGCGCGCTGTCGCCAGCGATGATGGTCGCGAACGTCAGACTACCGCCGACACGAGTGGCAGGGACGTTTCAGTCTCGGGTTCGATTTCTGACCGAAGCAGAAACGGCGGCGATGACGACGGGAGCAGGAGCAGAGCCGGGAGTGCAGGCTGCGGATCATTGGAAGGAGTTCCGAAGAGAAGGCGACGGAAGAAGAGCTCCCAACGACGGTGCGCGTGCTAGACAAGAGTCAACATGGAGACTGTTGGCATGAGGGGTTGGTGGCCGTGTCGATCTCTGCTGTGCGTGATCGAGATAGCACCGTCACGTTCACCGTAGCTCTCTGTCAATGTGAAAGCGGTGTTCGATTAATGACTTGCCGGCTGAGGAACCGAAGGCAGAAAGGACCATGATTCCCTCTCCTTCCGAGTTCATAGTTGCTCCGCAAGCCGAGGTCTTAGTGGCGTTGTAGGACGAAAGGGTGGCCGTTGTTTTTTTTCGGAGCAAGTCCAGCGCAGCTACAACAGCATCATGATCGCTTTACTCAGACACTGTACTCACCCTTACAATGAACGTTTTACGTCCCGTTTTGTTGCCCCGTGCTTCTGATGAAGGAAACATTCGGGCAGGCACGAGCGAAAGAAATCGCGGAAACGTCAATCATCTTCTCGGTCCATGAGCAAGCATAGCCAAATCGCCCGGGATGGAAAGGGAGCTTCCTCGATGCTGACGCAGCGGCCAAGGTCAACAGGCCAACGACAACCACGGTCAGCCCGACGCAGTGCAGCCGTTGGCCCGTCCAACATATCCCAGCGGCAGAAGTCAGCGGTAGAGAACGAGGACGGACGGGGAGAGCCCGACCTGAACCATTGGGGCACCGAGCCCGCAAGCAGCCTCTTCGGGGGAAGCACGATCGACCTTGGGGCGGGTAGCACGGTCGATCTCGGCGCCGGTGGTGAAAGCTCAATAGACCTCGAGGGAGTGAACACTGAGCGAGGGGCGTCGCCGTCCGCAGTCCCGGCTAACTCTTCAAAGAGACGAAGCGGTGACAGGGGTGACGACACCATTAGGACAGCACGCGGCGATAGCAGTGAGCAAGGTAACCGTGATGAGTCTGACGAGGTGCTTCGAGCCTCTGACCGAGACCTGACGGCGGAGGAAGCGACGGCGACAGCCGGAGCGCCGGGGAACGAAGCGGAGAAGGAGAAGGGTGGACATGCCGACCGCGAAGAGGGAGGTGGCGAGGACGGTGCCGGACGCGGCAATGTCCGCCATTCGCGTTCTGAGTCTGTTGGTGGTGCTGGTGCTGCCACTGGTGATGCTGTTGGTGAGCGGTTGCCTCCTCCAAGGCCCCAGCAGTTAGCTGCTCGAAAAAGTGGCGATGGGAGAGGCCATGGGGTCAGGGGGGACAGCAGGGCGCGATCACGGGAACGCCCGCACCAAACCCCTTTGGTTGGGTCGTCTTCGACCGTGGGGGGAAAAGTACGGGGTGGTGGATCGCCGAGGAGATCGGAAAACGCTCATGGCCGTGCTTCCGCTCTGGACGGCAGATGGGTAAGTGTGACTCACAGAATCATTTCTAGAGGAGGAATGCTGGTTTTCTCGTTGCTTCGATTTTTTTTTTATCTATGCTCGTGTTTTACTTCGGTGTTCAATTTGTTAACTTGTGCTCGTGTTTGACTTCGGTGTTGGTGCTTGGGTCAAAATTCGGTTTGTCCATGATGATACGAGAACATGTTCTCCCAATAATACTTGCGCTGTACGTCCGTGTTCGTGTTTCCATGCCCCCGGCTGTGTTGCTACTTACTCCAGCACCACGGATGCTGTGTTGATGCTACGCAAAAACGACCGTAATCTGTGTTAAGGTTTTCCTGTGCTCCCTTTTGATAAGACCGGTCCAAGTGCAAATGCCCGCCGCATTGCAGTGACCGGTACTTCAGCCCGTGTTACAGGCTGCGCATGCATAGTCCGCGCATTTCATCAGAACGTCTGTTTTTCTGCTTTCGGGCATATGTTTTCGCCTCTTTTCTGATCCACCTGCTTCCAACCCGTCCCAGAATCCCCTCAAGCATATGTACGCGGAAACAGATATCGCGCCTTACACTCTCCGTCACGCCTTCCTCGTCGTTATTGTCATGTCATCTACGGGTTGTTTCCCTTTCTGTCGAACAACGTTCCGGTCCTGCATTTCGTCGTGTTCAAGGCGCGAGACGCGGCAGGAGGTGCTCACGGTGGTTCCCTACCAACGTCTGCTGATGCCACTGCTGCTGCTGCTGCTGCTGCTGCTGCCACCGGCGGAGACGGGGGTGGGTCATCTCTCCGACGTCTGCAGAAACGAGGTCGTGGCGCTAGTCCAACGGGCATCGAGCGCCTCGAGCAGCCTGTGAGCGCCTCGAGGTTTCGGCGCGACAAAGGGGTCCTCTTCGTGCCTTCCCCCGACGAGCGAATGGCGGCCGAGGCCGCTGAAGGGGCAGCCCGAGAGCGTAAAAGAAGACGAGCCAGACGCGCTAGGTTTGTGCACGGGGCGCGGGCGGGGTGTGTTCGCCTCACGCCTACGCTCTCCTTGTATTCTTATTCATCAGCACTGGAGCTCACAAATTCAAGAATCATCTCAGAGACTGGTGCCAGCATCACTCTGGTAGTCTTTTCCGTTAAGACAGACTGTCTGCAGTTTACCTTGACCGGCTGGAAAGTGACTTGAACCACACAGGGTGCTTTGGAAGTTTGTTGTAGTTAGCCTTTCTCGACCCTCGCCCTCGGCAAGGACGCAAGCTTGAAACGGGCCGATCGCCAGCAAAACCGTCCTTCTCTACCGTTCACGATTGACCTGACCGCAGGCACAGGCGTAGACTGGAGATGAAGAACGACCTGAGCAGGAGAGCTGGACCGGTGATGGTCGCCATGACACCGGTGGAGTACGCAGGGTGAGCAAGCGTGGCGCTCCGCGTCCCGTGATAGCTACCTCGCAGGCGGCACGTGTACGTCTGTTCATGGTTCCGTGCAGCACAAGCTGGCTTCTTGGACGTGCCAATGTCAATCGACTGTCACACCGAACACCGTAAACCAACACGCCGGGAAACCGCTTGTTTGGAGCTCGACTTTGGCTGAGCTACTGAGCGAAAGAGTATGACGCAAACAGCGGGGGGCAGAGACCGGTGTACTTGGTCAGATGAACTAGCCGTAGCCGAAGTTGTTCGAGTGAACCTTCACCTTTCCATCTGTCCCGTCCGTTCACCTGCCCGCCCGCCACGGTTGTCCGCCCACCCTCGCACCAGTGCTATCAAAGTATCGCTGACATGATGTGTGTCGTCTTTTCCCCCAACTAATTGCGCCGACAACACCGCAACATGATCTTGCCTCTTTGTCTTGGTACGCGTTCTTCGGGTGATTTTGGAGCAAGGCGTGCGTGATCCTGTCAACCTCTCTAGCTTCTTCCCGCCGCATATTTATTGCTAGCGCCGGCACGCGGTGTCGATGATGTACAGTCACATACCAATCACATTTGTATGCCCGTCCCCCTCACCCCGTAGATTTCGCCTTCCAAAAACCCTCCCTTGTGTCCATAGTGACGATGGCTGTAAGCCAATCATCAAACAAAAACGCCCCCCCCACCAATCCGGTCACCTCCCCCTGTGTAGTCGGTGAACGTCTCTAAGATCTCCCCCCATACCTCCCTGTGTTTCCCAGCGGCGAGCGCACCGAGGTTGCCCTAGACCTCGACCGAGGAAACCTTCACGTTTACCACGCAGCGCGGGGTGAGGGAAGAAGGGACAATCACCGGGTCGTGCCGCTGTCGAAGGTGCGCTGCACCGTCGCTCGGTGTCCTCTTGCCCTATGTTTGGCTTGTTGTCGAGCTACACAGGTTACTCACTGCGTTGTGAGCGTCCTTGTAGTCATAGGTTGCGCGGTGGCGAGTGCCTGATTACCTGATGAAGTCGCTCGGCTTTGCCTATCTTGCGTTGTGTACTTCCTCTCTCTGTGCCTTGATACTTTATCTTTGGCACCGAGAAACGAAACCAGCATGTTGTTTGCCACCGTCGCACCTTTTCTAGCTGTACAGGAGTACCATATTGTAGTCTCACCAAATGCCACCGATACCGTCTCCTTTGCCTCCCAAGACCCTTGTTTGCTGTTCATGCTACTGTAGGCACAAAACGAACACCCGTAAATGCAAAACCCTCCAACAACCAACACACAATCTGTGCGTGTGTGGTTATAGGGCTTAGTATGGAGCTGAGGTGAGCGCATCCATCCATCCGTCACCGTTGATTCCGTCTTTGTCGCAAAGGTGAGCGCATCGGTCGCGAAACGAAACCCGAAGCTGGTGGTTCTCCGTTGGTCTGGCCGACACCTCGCAACTATCGGCCAGGTATTGAATGAAATGTACAATGACGCATATCCTCGATCCGGTCGCATCTCCAACCCTGACAAGAGGCAATTTCCACCTGATCCCTATCTTTCCTCTAGCTGTTTCGCTCGAGACACTCGTTCCGAAACAAATCCTCCCGATATTTGCTTGTTGTTGGAGAAATTCCGCCTCCATGTATCCGACGCTTGGTCACCGAGATTTGTCCACGCCCTCTGTTTCGCGTGATGCATCGTTAGCGACCATCTGAAATGCCATTTAGCCCCCGAACGAAGAACACAGAAGAATTCACCCTACAGCAGCAGTAGTGCACCATCACCGTCAAACTTGAAAAATGTGAAAGTAATTTGTGCAACGCTTAAAAACGAAGCTTCCTTTTTAGAGGCGATGCACCGTACCATCATCCAATAGTTACCATGCATACATACGTCCAGATACAAGAAACGTCCTACATGGGAACATAAAGACATTCCCTTCACATTTACTTGAAAAACAGGGTGCCTGGAGAGATGTAAGCGGCCGGAACGCGGCGCACAGGAAACGTCTCAAGGCAGTCAGCATAACCAGCAGCACTGCCTGGAACACCGGGTCCGTTGCAAAAGAAACGCCCCTTCTTCCTTCTTCGAGTGCGGCAGCCGCGGGCGCCGGCGTGGCGTCGGCAGGTTGGCTCAACCCCGGACCGGAAGACGATGTTGACAAGAACTTTGCGATAGAGGCGTTCAGCGTGCGTGCTCGCAGCGGCAACAGGAGCTCGCGCCCGAGGTGTGTTTGCCCCTAACCCTTAGAGGGATAGGAACAGGGCTTGAGGTAGAGTAGGGTAAGACGGGGGGCAACCCACTTCACGATAGAACAAGGGGTTCATGCAAGGTGATTGAGGCTGTTCACCTAGGAGGTTTTTCATCACGGCGTACAACGTAGATTTGTTATGTAGCGTGATGGAAACTGTCGTCCTAGCAAAGCGTGTGACGTCGACAAAGACACGAGAAAAATGTACGCACAGGGACGCCCCTCCCCCTGATTATCACGTGATCCGTTCGCCCATCTCCACTGTGTCGGCGATCGGCAAGCAGTCGCGTTCCGTCCTCGGCGCGGAGGTACTTCCGACAAGCGCTGCCTGCGGTAGCCAGTGGCAGTGGAGGCGACAGGGGCACCATTTCCGCCCAGGGCAACAACAGCTACAGTAGCAGCGTAGCGTGCGATGCGTCCTTGGAACCTCGCCCTGTGCGTGCCCCGCGCGGATGGCCTAGCATGGCGGCTACGGAAGGAGCACGAACGGGGGCGGGGGATGGTGTGGCTGCTGCTCCTGATAAGGGTGTAAGGTTCCCATCCTCGCAAGGATGCGACAGCAGCGGCGCCTTGCTGAGACCAACGCCGCCCGCGCATGCAAGGTGATGATGCGTTTCGTTGGAGCATATTGCATACACGTATGGAACAATACCAGGAAAGTTTAGATGGAATTGCGTAGGAGAGAAACGTCGCTTCCACCACCATTGATCAGAACGCCAGCGACGACCGAACGTCTTTCAAATTCGTCCAGAGTTCTCGGACGACAGACCTGGCGCTGCCGCCACGAGGCGACGGAATGTACGCACACCGACGAGGCCCAGCCATGCACGCAATCCCGATTGCACATCGACGAGAAACGATACATTCATCAAAGCCCAATCGTCAATCCCTTCCCCCCGGCCTACCGCCCCGACCTGCATGTCTGCTTTCGGCCGCCTCGCGTCCAACGTTTTTTCTTCAGAAATATCTCACAGTCTTGGCGTTTCACCACCTGCCCGCCAGAAGAAAGAGGTGCGAATAGTGCCCCGACGGTTGGTGTTGCTTGTAGCCGTGCCAGCCCGCTGTGGACGACCCGTACAGTGTCAGCGTGCCGAACCGATGGTGCCGCAATGACGCAGGGGGGAGAGGAGGACGATTGGGTGCCGCCGTACGCCAACCAAGACGACGAACTAGATGGAGATGGAAATGGAGAAGGAGAAGGAGTAGGGGGAGGAGGAGGACGAGCAATGAAATCGATCGCGGCAGCCCTAAAACAGGCCCAATTAACGGAAGGCGACGACGGGAAGAAAAGAGACGGAAATCCGACGTTTGTCGCAGCTCTATCTTCCGCCTTCGCGAAACGCGTGGTCACAGGGGTGACCGCGAGCGCAGTCGCAGCGGAGGCGCGAGCGCAGCAAGAAGGAATCGACCGTGATGGTAACGAGGACGAGTGCGGCGACCGCCACATCGCCGCCCAGGACGGTGCCGCCCCAGCCCATGGAATCGGCCACGGCCACCCTGCTCCTTTCAACGCCGAGGCGGGCATCCTCCCGAGACGGTGGACCCTAGTAAACAAGATTAGAGCCAAGAGCACCACCACCCCCGGTGCGCCGCAGGGTCATATCGGCAACGGGTCGGTAGCGTCCAACGGTAAGATCGCTATGGCAGGGGTAACGAGAAAACCATCGAAACGGTGGCACATGGTGAAGGCCGAGACGAACGCCGTGAAAGCCTACAGGAGAGCACAAGTGGCCGCTTCGACCAGGGCAGCGCGGCACAAAGCTAGCAAGAAGCAGTGGGGGGAGCTGAAGGTAGCAAGAATCACCACGTCTTACTTGATGAACGCCCTCATGGTCGGTTCAGACGAAATCGACGACGACGAACCCTCATGCTCAGAAGGCGAGGAAAGAGGAGTCGGAAGGGGGGGGAGCGGCAACCGGCCCCGGCGTGGTCGGCGAGAGATCGGAGATGCGGCCGGGGGCAGTGCATCCGAAAATTCGTCGTCGATATGGTGCGAGAGTAGTAGCAGTGATGACTACTCCTCGTCGGACAAAGAGGTGGGTGTTGTGTGGGGCTCGGATGGGATTTGTAGGTAAGGCCTTGGAACGTTGCACACGCACGGAGGAGATTGTTCTTCACTCCTGTTTCTCTCGTTTTTGCTTGCAGGGAGACCGCCACAGCGACGGCTACGCAAGCGTGTACATGCAACACGACAGCAGCAGAAGCAACAGCAGGAGTGCAAGCAGCGCCAGCACCAGCACCAGCACGAGCACCAGCACCACTAGCAGTAGCTCGAGCACCACCAGCAGCAGCAGCGGCTCCGAAGACAACGATGCCCCGCCATCGAAGTTGAGAAGTTCCAAACGCATCCATACCAGAAACGCATTGTCGAGGAGTCGCACCGCCGAGCTCGGCAAGCTGTTCTTCGCCGGGAGCATCGTCATCGCCGGGCTGCAAGAACCAGTGCAGGTGCGAGTGGTGTGACGCCGCTGGCGACGGGAAGTGGGTGGGTGGTTGGTACAGCAGGATTGAGTCGCACAACCCCAGGGAACAACCAACGAGTTAACGTTCCCAAAATCCTCTGTGAACGGTAGTGGTGTACGCAGCAGTAGGGCATTAAGTCTAGTCCGCAGATGTAGCGAGACCAACCACACGGGAGGGGAGCAAGGTTACCGGAGATTCTGGGCCCAGGGGGCTTTGAGGCACACCGGAAGGTAGGACACCGAAGAGCACCAAGACGTGCGGCCAATATCATGACGGAGTAGGCGCGTCTAGCATCAAGACACCTGGTAATGCATCGTCAGTGAAATCGACTCATTTCTCGATGACATCGATTTGGTTGCATCCATCCCTCGTGCCGTGCAGCGTCCAACAAAAAAAAACGAGAGCAACATCATCATGAGAGAGGCTAAAAGTATGCGGCGAATGACGACTAATGAAAAGCAACTGCATGCACGAAGAAAGTTTGGGGGGTCGGCGCGTGAAGCGAACCTTCCCGTCAGCCAGTTTGGATCATCGCACCGGAGTTTATTCTGACGGTCAACTATGCAGCACCGGTCGATAGACAAACCCGACTCACCCGTCGACACACTACAGAACAAAAGACACTTACTGCATGCAAAGTATTGCCCGAACCGAACAGAGGACGGACTTGAGGACATAAAACTGTTGTAAAGAGTTTCGGGCTCCCAAAAGGTCATTGTCGTTCTTTTTTTGCCTTTCTGCTCACTCCTGCGGTACCTCGAGAAACACGCCGACCGTCGCTACAATTCTTATCAGAGTGGCTGCGCGACAAAAGAACCCATCGTCCCTCTCCTGCCACCGCGTCCTCCTTTCCTCGCATCGTCGTGACACCACCGCGCATGTCAATGATCACGTCGAACTGAGACAGAAACAGCTGGCCGACCAGTTCGTCCGAGATATTCCGAACGTGGAAGTGCGCATAGTCGCCGACGTTGCCAGCACGATCCAGGTGTGTGCACCTACTGGTGACCATTCAAACCGTCCACATCAAGGGAGGGGGAACGAAAATGGCGTCAAGTATTTCTTCATATTAATGTGGAAACCAGGAATAGAGGTATTGACGCACATACATCCAATGGTTCCACACCACAGTTAGTTGGAAAAAGTGGCGTCTTTAGTTCAATGAGCGATGCTGTTCCGTCTCGAAAAGGTGACATGCGTGGTAAATGGACTACTGCATAAATATGACGGAATGCAACAATTGATCATGCCCTCTCCCTCCCACAGCTGCCTTTACGGAGGATGATTTTCTTCGAAGCTGCGCGCTTCAGTAGACTACATGCAAAATTGTTTACATGTAGATTTTGGAGGGTTTTATCAGGGAAACCGTCGTTACGCAGATCAGCACGCCCGGTGCTTTATGGTGCCATGTGTTCTCCCTAGAGCCACCAGCACGTTCGTGGCTGCTCGCTCGTTGTTTGTTTGAACAACGGTACGTTAGTTGAAGTTTAGAACATTCTGACTCTCGTTGTGGACGCAAGGGGGGCACCAAAAATTCACACTTCTGCCCCTCCCCCCGGCACGTCTCAGTCCTCCGCATTCCCTTCCGATCGGATTTTAGTCATTGCAGTATTCCGGATAAAATATTCACACAGAAAGCAACCCCACATGTTGATGATTTTCAGCATGCGTTTATTAATGTTCTTCGTCGTGTTTGATTTTTTGCACCACAGACAGTACAAATTATGCCCCCATCGCTGGTACTGGTGGCGTGGGCAGCGTTCAGCTCTGCCAAGTTCGCTCGGGATTTCTTGGGCGACGGTGCTCGCGGGCTGAGAGGGATCAAGCCCGGTCTACCGGTGGCTGTGGTTGGAGGCGAGAATGACGGCGAGGTAGGACGTCAGAAAGAAGATTTTGAAGGATGTTGCTGTAGGGATATTATCTATCCGTCGCGCCCCCATTGACTAGTTGTGCATCGGCCAAACGTCTTGTACCCGTGTTGGAACACTATTGCTCCTTTCTAACGACAGTCATTCCTCTGACCTGTATTCCATCGCCCGCGGGATCTGTTCCGGCGCCTCAAGCAGCCATCACCCACGTATCTTTGCGTCTTCTTCTGCACGTAATGTTGGCTCGAGGGTGGCTAGAAGATCCCCCTTCACAGACTCGCAAGCCATATCACGGGAATGTGTTCTCGCTATCACGAATCACCATGCACCGAAAAGTCATATAACCGTTCGGAGACTGTTGTTCGCTCTCTTGCCTTGCACTTTATAGACGTTGCCTGCTCGGTTGTTGGCTTGGAATACTGTTCTGGGGAATGCTAGGCTTGGGGGATTGGTTGGCAGCCTGCAGAAGGGTTCGTTTTGGTCGCCTAGCGGGAATGTGGCGGTCTAACACTCCCCCTCCCCTCCCCCCCTCTCCGATTGTGCGCCACCATCTCCGCCTGGTACGCAGGGGCTTCGGATGAGTTTGGAGGCTATGGGAGCGACCGCTGTTTTGCTGTGGCCGTACAAGCCCGAGGATGTCACGGTATTGGCTAAAAACGTTTTCCTTTGGACTCAACGGTATCAAGCAGACAAGCAGCAATCCATGCCCTTCGCATCTCGGCGGAGTAGCGCGCACGCTCAGGCATGATTGTCCGAGCTGTGGTTTCATGATTTAATGTCATGATTCTCAATGGTTGGTCTCGGTCAGCATCTGCGACATTTGATTGGCCACGATATTGTCCCGATTTTGTTGCAGGCAGTGTAGAAAAGTGCTTACTGGTGCACGCCTAACACTGTCGTCCTTTCTTCTTTCTCATGCACGTTCCGACTCGTCCAACTCCCCCTTCCCTGCAACACCCCCCTCAGGGTATGCTGGAGACTTGCCTCAACGTTCGGCTTTGAAGAAACGGGATCACCGGTGGCGTGGTCGGTTTTCTTGCACTCTGTTGCACTCCTGAGCACCTGCCTGGGCCGCTGCTGTCCCTGCTTGATTCTCCCCTAATTGAGTACTGGTACCCATATACAGCGAGAGCTTGCCTATTGGTGGAGCCCCTCCTCCTCTCATCTCCACTTTTTGAAAAGCGGGGGGGGGGGGAGGGCTCACACGAAAATCTCGTACGTTAACAGTAGTACACTAGAATATACGGAAGTGCTTGTTGTGCGACAACAGCACCAGCAGAGGTCCAGGTTTGGCGCGGGTGAGCATGGACGGAAGGGGGAAACGTGAGCATGCACAACCAGCCACAGTATTGGCTGGTTGAATCCACCGATAATTGTGCCACGCTCGGTACGCATTGAGAGATTACCAATTGCAAAGAGCCGTGCCTTGTCGCTCTTCAGCGTACTTGTGCTCTCTCTTCAGCGACATTTCGCCGGGCCGATATCACTTACTTGCGGAACTTTCACCCGTCAGTATCTGGCGAAACGGGCCGTGCATGCTTACATTGGACCCCTCTTCCCGGGGTTGTGTACACCCCTGTTTGATCGAGACGTCCGTTGTTGGGGGTGGCGTTGGAGGCTTTGTATTTGCATTGTCTCTCGAGTGTGATGAATACCAACGACAAGACGCATGCGTGTGGGGTTGTCTGAGAACCTGGATGGATACTTCAAGGGCTATCGAGAAACGATCGATTGCTTCCGACTTCGGCGAAACTTGATGAAAGCTGCTCCAACCGCGAGGGGGGGGTGGTTGAGGAGTCCGATGGAAGCCGTTTGTGTAGACCAGTGTTCACATACATCACAGTCTTTGTCAGCAGCCGTATTATTGCAGCATGCATCACTCAGTACAAAACTGCGCAGTGTAGTAGTCGACTTGTTCAGCAGCAATACTGCTGTGGAACATGTCGTTGTGTGAGAGAGGTGGAGGCGGGGGCGGGGGGGCGACATCCATCAAGATCTACGTGGAAGAATCGCCGTACAAGCACGCAGTGGAGCAGGTCAAATTCTCAAGGGTAAGGCCGAAGAGGCAAAGATAATTTTAACAGCTAACTCTCTAACATGTGTCGCGGCTTGCAATAGCACATTAGAAGACAAAGCTCCACAATCTACACTGTGCCAGCTCGTGGCGCTCTTCACACCACTCCCTCTCTCTCTCTCTCTCTCTCTCTGGCCTCCCAATCTATCCTGTCCATGACGCAGACCCACCACATACAGGGCTAAACAACAGCTAAATGACTGTATGGGTGATACTGCGGACATCGTCCGTATGTTAGCAGCGTTTTCAGGCAGTGCGCTGTCTTTGGTGGGCTATCCTCTACCGATTAATATTCTATTAGCGGCTGAGGCGGGCCAAAAGCTCACCCCGCCCCCTTCCGAAGGATCCTCTATGAGCGGTCAACCAGAAGAAGACTGGCCGTCGTCGGCGTCGCTTGTTCTTGAGCTGCCCTCGGGCCGACTTCCATCGCTGGCGCTGCCATCGCTGGCACTGCCATCGCTACTGCTGCCATCGCTGCCGCTGCGTCGGCGCCGCCGGTGGTAGCAATCGGCGATGGCGGCCGCGCCGGCCCTCCCGCCCCGTGACAGCCAGCGGCCCTTGGCCACCGCTACGCTGCACGCTGATTCCGTACACCTGTTTGTGGTTCGTTGGTCGGTTTGGTTGAGTGATTGTAGCAGCAAAAAGAGCAGCAACCACTGCTTTTTGCAAGGCAGCCAGAAGTCGTGCGTGCAACAATAGCAGCCGCAGCGGGGCTTGGCTTGAGTAATTGCCCGAGGCGAAAGCAGCTCGGCGAATGACACACATTTACAAACGCTGCGACCCGAGCCAATTTAGTACAAGCGTCGGGTGCCGAAAAATATTAAAATATGGAGAGCAAAGTCTACCCCCGCACAAGGCCGACTGGAGTGTGAGCAACGCTACTTCTACAGTTAAATCAACAAACGATGACTTGAGGCAACAAACGGCGAGGTGTTATCCCGGCGTTGTCCCCCGAGCGCGTAGTTCTTCCAACAAGCGACGGAAACAAAACATGCACATATCAAATACACGGGATGCATGCCGTTGTAGCTCCATCCAACCCAAAGCAAGCATCGATCGGTACCCTCCCTTCCCCCATCTCACCGTTGTGCCGTGCAACCCACTCGCCGCCCGAATCCGACCGCCCTTTCCCGGACCGCTTGAACCCTCGTCTGCGCCACTTGGGCCCCGGTCTGAATCGCCTGTGCCCCCGCCTGGACGGGCGCCCCGACACCCTCCACCAGACCGCCTCCGGCGTCTACAACCCCGTCCGCCTGTGTGCACGCACACAAGCGCACGGATGGGCGGCGGGTGGCGGCGAGGAGGAGTTTGGGGAGACGTGTTGCTATGGGTGTACAGATATCGCAGGGCTGCATAGGAGCGAAAAACAGAACAAACATAACACAAGATCAATGTAGCGTGTCTCCATCGAGCAACACAGAGGGTCGCGTACTGGAAATAGGTGGGCATACTGGAAACAAGCTTCTCTCTTTTTACCATGCTATCGCCATAGCATATCCCAATGGCCTCAAGGTTCGCAGCCCCGTCAAACATTGACGGAAGTGACTGGGATTTGAATCCGCCCAGGGGTTCCGTCTTTTCCCATCCGTTTCCGCGGAATTTCTCTTCCCCATGGTTTACTTGTCGCGTTGTTTTCTCATCACGACTTATCTGTAGCACTCTTGAGGGGCCGAAATGAAACAAAGCTGGGGCGAGAGGAGTCTATTGTAGGGACCACGGCGGTATTGAGGACGCGACTCGGAAGGGAGCAAACACAAGAGACACCGCCGTGATGCGTCACGCACGCACTTGACCTCTTGTTTCCCTACACGCGGCGAAGTGTGACGCGTCGGGTCGTGCATGAACGGACACCACCTGGGCAGCTCCTCTTACTACTTACCGCGGCCGCCGCCTTTTCCGCCGCCAGAGACGCCGCTTTTTTCGCCGCGTCCCTGACCCCCTTGGTGCTGAGCAGCATCTGCAGGAAACCCGCGATGGCTCCGAGGATGGCGCCGGCGATGATGAGCGTGAATTCTTCTTCCTGGAACACCGGATGAAGTACGCCCTCGAACGTGCGGGTGGACATCTGGTTGATGGGGTTTTCGTTTTACGACAAACAAAAATGGGCGGGGAGATAAAGGCGGAGGCGAGACCAGCAAATGCGCGAGCAGCACGAACAATGACGGCGCATTTCTACATGCATATACGGCTCTCAAAAAGAAACGCCATGCACGTGCTTCCCGCCTTCGTCCTGGCCCTGCTTTGTGTGGGAAAGCAGCGGGTCCACACCAATACATACACCCTCCGTCACCACGCATGCTAATGAGCATTCCCACTCCCCTCGTTCGCCTCCCTAACCCAAGCGCCGTGCCGCTACAGCAGCAGTACTGTAAGAAAACAAACCACACTCACCTTCTGCATCTGCACGGTCATGGTCTCTCTCAAGGCCAAGGTCTTGTCGGTGTAGTCGTGCAGGACATGCACGTGGTCCCCCAGCTTCAACGGTTCGGGAAACATCGCGGAGAAGGAGGGAGCACCAGGCGGGCCGTACGGCGGTATTTCAGCGAGACCAGCAGCCATCTCTACTACCAAAACGCGACGCCCATCAAACAAGAACGAAGCAATGCAGCCTAGAGAAACACCACAAAGATCACGGGATTCAGACCGCGGGGGGACGCGAGCACCGCGCATCCTTGCGGTGGAGCAAGTCGCCGGTTGTGGTGTCACGGGCCAAAGGGAAAAGAGAGAATGAGAGCAAACAAAAAAAATCACCTTCCCCACAGCCCTGAGCGCAAGACCCTTCACGGCGAGCGGGTCTAGGTTGGCCCCCGCCACCGCCGACGCCCTCGATACGAAGGGGACGACGCGTGCGGCCACGAGCTCTCGGAACGCATCCGCCCGAGAGCCGTCGATGATGGAGCTCCACAGCTTGTTGGAGGTCAGCACGTTGCTCGAGAAAAACTCTGCGAAATCTGCGGCAACCTGTTCGAATTGTTTTCGTTGTGGTTGCCGTGTGGGGATGTTAGTCGAGAGGCAGGGGTGTATCTCGTAAGTTCTTAGTTTATCGACGTTGTGTGTGCTCATCGTTGTCGGAGACACGGCGTTCTTGTTGACGGTGTGCCGAAGACTTGTGTCAAAGACTTGTCCGTGTGCAACGGCATATAGAAGATAATAACCAACAGGACGCCAAGGTCGGGGCTGGGGTAGTTAGTGACATTTGACCAACTTCCAATAGCACGGGCTGGTTCGAGAAGGTCACTGTACAAGACTGGTGCGACACGTTACGTCGGAGCTGTTTAAACCCTGTGCGCTGCTGCTGAACTATGCAACAGACGAATATGCCACCAATTGATCCATGTGACACCTCAGGTTTGTTCTGCTATGGGACGACAGCATATTCCTTTGTGACAAACACGATGGGAGGTACGACAGGTAGTGAATGGTACCCCGTCACCTACAAAGCTCTGCTACAAAACTAGCGACACAGACACGCATGACCCAGCGTGGCTCGTTCGTCCACACAAACGCTCATCAGCGCCGGAAGACGTTCGCCGACCACCAGAAAGCGTTTATTTGTTTCCGTCTCGCTCAAAAATGGTCCCATTTCATTCGACAGCCAGTCTCAGTCCGCGCGGTACTGCAGCGCGCGTTCGGTTGCGACTGTAACCCCCAACACGGCACGCATCGCATCACAACGCACCACGCCCGTCTGGCCGGAAGGTACCCACCTCTTCTTGTCTCTTGAGGAACAGCCCCTGCAGGACGAAAGGCCCAAGCTTGACAGGGTCCACCGGCTCGAAGATCAGCTTGATGGCCAGCCAGTTGGTGATGTAACCGACCACGGCGCCCCCCGCGGGCAGAGTCCAGGGCTTGTCATACAGAAGCCACACGAACATTTGGACCACGCCGAGCAAGAACCCGAAGAAGAACCCACTTTTGTTTTGTTTGGTTGGGTAGGAGCGTACGGGGAGGGAAGAAAGGAGAAACAGAGTGAGGGTTCGAGGTACCGCAGTGAAGCATGTGCCTAGTCGCCGCGTCTCCGAACGGTTTCCGTCACCCTTTGGGGTGCGGTACAATGTGTGTTTCGAGACTGAGCTAAGACGCTCCGCTGCCCGTGAAAGGTGCACAACGTGATCGAGTCTGCTCTGTGTCACTGGGAAGGGTCATTCTGTACGCTCATGTTCGTGTGGACGCTGTGGATAAAGATGTACGGCATGCGGAGAAAGTCGGACCCTAGCGTTCATCGCCGACATGAGCGGCACCGTTCCCCGTTGCTTTCGGATGGACAACGGGGGGGGGGTTCGTGGGCCGCGAGGTCATCGCCTTCTGCGACAACGCCGGCATCCTCCGCACACATACACGGCGCCGGGCACACGCCGCAGCAGAATGGGCCGGCGGAGAGTGCGACAAGGCGAGTGAGCAAGGCCCGCCGCGCCGCCCGCCGCGAGGCCTGCCGCCTGTTTCCCAAGATCGACTTTCTCCGACCCTCTCCAGACAACCACCACAAGGCTGAAGCACGCCGGTCAGTTTTGAGGCCACGCTGCTTGGCAAGTTCACGCAAAGAAACTCATTGGCATGGG